CCCTTTCTCCAGGGTATCTTCCCAACCCAGGAATTGAACCAGCGTCTCCTGCATTGCAGGCGGATTCTTTACCAATTGAGCTATCAGGGAAGTCCCTACCATGTCTCAAACTACATAAATCTAATGCCTCCTACTTTTAACTATTTTTCCTCCCACTGGTCCTTAACATGGACCTTTCATTTTTTTCTGTTAGCACGTATGGGTAATTAACCATAATTATCCCAACCAGCAGCTCTTATAATTAGTAACTGTACAGAGAAAGCTTTAATATAAAATTATAATAAAGTCAAGTTCTAAAATATCAAACTCATAGATAAAAGGTGCTTTTCCCCTCCTTCCTTCTTATTCATACATGCTACATAGCCTGAACTGACTAACATATTTGCTATATACTTGCAATTTTTAGTAAAGACAGAACTGAATAACACTATCAATCACTTTGATCTAATTGATTTTTATACAAAAATATATCTTGCAACCATAGAATAAGTATTCTTTTCAAGTCAAGTGCACATGGTTTGTTCTTTAAAGTAGACCAATGCTAGAATAACAAGTCTCAATCAGTTTAAAATGATTGAAATCAGAGTCTGCTTTGACAACTGAATTAAATTACAAATCATTAGTAAGATATTTAGAAAAATTCTCTAATTTAGAAATTAAACAACAGACTTCTCAATAGCCTATGGGTCAAAGAAGAAATCATAAGAAAAACTAGAAACTATTTTGAATAGAATGATAATGAAAATATAACATACCAAAGTATGTAAATGAGGCTAACTCAGTGCTTAGAGAAAAATTTATAGTTCCAAATGCTGATTTCAGAAAAGAAGAAAGGTCAAAATTAATGGGCTAAGTTTATAGCTCAAAAAACTAAGAAAAGAAAAGCAAAATAAATAATAAAGAGAAAATATAAAGACCTTGAAATAAAATAAGCAAACAACAAGGAAAGTTATCAAAATCAAAAGTAACTTCTTTGAAAAGATCAACAAAATTGATACAGTTCTAGCTAGAAAGAATTTTCAATGTAAGAAATAAAGTAGGAAAGTGTCAGTAGTGGGGGAGGAGCTAAGGTGGCAGAGGAATAGGACGGGGAGACCACTTTCTCCCCTCCAAATTCATCAAAAGAACATTTGAACGCTGAACAAACTTCACAAAACAACTTCTGACCACTAGCAGAAGACATCAGGTGCCCAGAAATCAGCCATCGTCTTCGAAAGGAGATAGGACAAAATATAAAAGATAAAAAGAGAGACAAAAGAGCTAGGGACAGAGACCCGTCCCAGGAAGGGAGTCGTAATAGAGGAAGTTTCCAAACACCAGGAAACCCTCTCACTGGCGGGTCTGGGGGAAGTTTTCAAATCTAGGAGGGCAACCCAACTGGGAGGGAAAATAAATAAAACCCAGAGATTACATGCCTAAAAGCAACTCCCAGCAGAAAAGTACCCCAGACGCCCGCATCCGCCACCAGCAAGTGGGGGCAAAACAGAGAGGAGCAGGTGGCATTCTTAGGGTAAGGACTGGGCCCAAATGCCCTGAGGGCAATTGGAGGGAGCTAATGTGAGATAGCAACTTAAATTGTGGGATAGCAAGAGAGAGAGAGAAAATTAACTGGCCCGAACACACTGCCGGCCATTCACAGAACACAGGGACTGAGCAATTCCAGAGAAGAGCTAGCCGGCTGCAGACCAGCCCATCCCCCGCCGGAGGCAGGAGGCAGAGGGGAGGGGAAAGGGGCAAACTCGGCCCCAGAGATGGCACCCCTACCAAACTGAAAACAGGCTCCCAGTTTCTAACCAAAGACTTCCTGAGTTTCTGGATGGTCGACATCCACCCCGAGGGTCTCGGTTAGAGGCCAGCTCCCAAGAACAGACACAAAGCTCACGCACCCGACTAGCGTGCGGGGAAACTGAGGCTAGGACTGTGGAGGGGATAAGGCACACCGCACCTGGGAAGAATGTACCCATCAAGCTCCTGGCTGCCTGAGCTGCTCGGGCCAGGGAAGGCACAAAACACAGGCCCAACTGAGTCCACACTTTTGTGGAATACCCAAAAACTGGAACACCATGCAACGCAGGGCCTGCTCCATATACAGCAGCCGGGAGCCTGAGCAGTGTAGATGGGGAAAGCACATACCCTTGAGCGGGGGCAAACCCAGTGTAGCCGAACACTGTGAGTGCTCCCCACACAGGCCGGTGACATTTGTCTACAGCGCCCCTCCCTCCCCGCAGCACGACTAAACAAGCAACCTAAACAAGAGACCACCTCCACCCACTTGTGTCAGGGTGGAAATTAGACACTGAAGAGACCAGCAAACAGAAGCCAAATAAACAAAGGGAACCGCTTCAGAAGTGACCGGTTCAACAGATTAAAATCCCTGTAGGTAACACCGACTTACCAGAAGGGGCCCAGAAGTATAAGCTGGAACAAGGAGCTATCTGAAACTGAACCAAACCCACACTGACCGCAACAGCTCCAGAGAAATTCCTAAATATATTTTTACTTTTTTTTTTAATTAAAAAAAATTTTTTCTTTTTTTAAATTTTTTCTCTTTTATTTTCTTTGAAAATTCCCTATTACTCCTCCATTACTCCTTAATTTTCATTTTCATTTCACTATAACCTTGCAAAAAAAAAAAAAAGAAGAGGCCCTATTTTTAAACCAGACTGCATATATATTTCTAACATTTTTTGTGTTTTTGTTTTTAATATTGTATATTTAAGAGTCTAACCTCTACTCTAGATTTTTAATCTTTGTTTTTCAGTATTTGATATCAATTTTGGACATTTAAGAATCCAATATTCAGTACCCATTTTTACTCAGGAGTGTGTTAATTACTCTCTCCCACTTTTGATTCTCCGTTTTCTCCCTCAGATCACCTCTATTTCCTCCCTCCCCCTTCTCTTCCCAATCCAATTCTGTGAATCTCTGTGGGTGTCTGGGACATGGAGAACACTCCGGGGACAGAGAACTGCATAGATCTGTCTCTCTCCTCTTGAGTCCCCCTTTCCTCCTCCTGCTCATCTCTATCTCCCTCCTCCCTCTCCTCCATGTAACTCTGTGAACCTCTCTGGCTGTACCTCATGGTGGAGAATCTTTTCACCATTAACCTAGACGTTTTATTATCAGTGCTGTATAGTTGGAGAAGTCTTGAGACTAGGGGAAGAATAAGACTGAAATCCAGGGTCAGGAGACTTAAGCCCAAAACCCGAGAACACCAGAAAACTCCTGACTACAGGGAACATTAAGTAAAAAGAGACCATCCAAAAGCCTCCATACCTACAATGAAACCAACCACCACCCAACAGCCAACAAGTTCCAGAGCAAGACATACCACTCAAATTCTCCAGCAATGAAGGAACATAGCCCTGAGTGTCAACATACAGGCTGCCCAAAGTCACACCTAACACATAGACCAATCTCAAAACTCACTACCGGACACTCCATTGCATTCCAGAGAGAAGAAATCCAGCTCCACCCACCAGAACACCGATGCAAGCTTCCCTAAACAGGAAACCTTGACAAGCCAGTTGTCCAAACCCACCCACTGGGTAAAACCTCCACAATAAAAAGGAACCACAGACCACCAGAATAGAGAAAGGCCACTCCAGACACAGCAATCTAAACAAGATTAAAAGGCAGAGAAATACCCAACACGTAAAGGAACATGAAAAATGCTCACCAAGTCAAACAAAAGAGGAGGAGATAGGGAATCTCCCTGAAAAAGAATTTAGAATAATGATAATAAAAATGATCCAAAATCTTTTTTTTCTTATTATTAATACAACAAATATTTATTTCTCATTCATGTCACAGTCAATGGCTGCAGGCCAGCTGCTTCAGCTCTGCTCCAGGTGTTTTAGCATCCAGCTGAAGGAACAGCCCCACCCTGGGAAATACATTCCCAGGCAGTGGGAAAAGAGCATGAGCCCACCACGCCATGCTCTGCAAGCTCTGCCTCGACATGTCCACTCACATCCCTCTGCATCAGGAGAAGGGATGAACACTCTTCACTTTTCCTCTAGAAAGGAGGAGGAAACGAGTAGTAGACAAAAATACAACAGATGACGGTGACTCAATGTGCAAAAAGATTTTCCAGCTTAAAAGGCATAAAATTCTAAACAAATGTGAAAACTGATATACTGTCTAAGTATGTTACAGGTCTCCATACCATATTGCAAAGATCAGGAAATATGGCAAACTTTTTAGGGGTTCTAGAGGACCCTCAATGTGCAGATCTTTATAAAAGATGGAGAAATAGGACCTGGCTTCCCAGCCCCATCTCACCCCAAGGCACCTACAGCATCCCAACAGAGCAGGCCTCTGTGCTTATGACGGACCTCTTAGCATTAACACCTTACAATCACATACGTGGCTGTGTGTGTGTGCAGTGTGAGGCACACAGCTGCAGAACCATGTCACTGGATCATGAGTCTTCAGGTCAGAGCTGGAGGCTGGTGGTTAACACAACTCAGAGTGAGTCCAAGGATGTCATAAGCAAGGCACAGAGTTCAGTAGCAAGAGAGGAAAGTGAAAGCCTGCTAGAGCTCAGCGGTCTGTCCCAAGAGGCTGAAGTTCAAGAAGGCAGCAGCTCCCCCGCAACCATGATGCAGGGAAGGCCTGTCCCTGGGGTGGTAGGAATAAAGTGCTGGGTTCAAGGAGTAGATCTTGCTGATTCAGGAGTGCTGGACTCCAGGCTGAGGTGGGGGAGGGAGGAGGTCCAGGGAGCCTGGCTCCCACAGCATGGCCCAGTCACTTTACCTGGTGTACCTTTTCCCCCCAGAGATAATTCCTACAAAAACCAGAGGATCCTACACAAACCAAAAATGTTGGTGTCAGGGCTTTTACAAAGTACCTGGGATGCTGTAGCACCTGCAGCAGGGTGCTACTGGGAGGCACGCAGTAGAGTTCTGCCCTGTCCTCATCCTCAAAGTAGACCTCTAAATTATCAGGGCAGTATTTTTGCTCTAAATCCCAAGATGGTGTTTCACCAAACATCACCATTAGATGATCAATAAACCTGGAGTCCTCGTGAAAAGCAGAGACAAGTCCGACTGCGCATACTCCGGGTACAGAAAGAGCACAGGCCAGCTCAGTCTTCCCTGGTCATCCACACTCAGCCTGGTTCCACAGGGGTTTTCAGAGCTGAGGCCATACAGGACAAGCTCACTGAGACCTTCTGAGGCTGAGTCTTCATCCTCTCCAGGAGCTTCAGCAACTAGCTTGATGTTCCTAGCCTTGATGGCCTGGAGTAAAGCCTTATTCTGATCCTGCTTCTTTTTTTCTTTCAACTTTGCTTTCCTTATATCCCTCTGTTCAGTTCGCTTCAACTTGTCTGCTTTAGCCCTCAGGTCCAGAAGCTTCTTCTCTGTGGCAGCTATCTGCAGCCTCTCATCGCACCAGTTCACAGCCTCAACATAGTTTTTCAGTTCCAGATGGCAAGAGGCACCTCTTATTATTGCTTTGAGGTGGCAGGGTTTTAGCTTTCTGGCAGCCATCACATCATTGAGAGAAGAACGAAAATTGCCCAGATAGTATTGTGCTGCTGCCCGATTGGTATAAAGAACAGCATTCAAATCAGGGTCTGCACATTTCTTCTTTAATCCTTCAGTGTATGAAATAACAGCTTTCTTATAGTCTTTTTCTTTAAAGTAATCATTGCCCTCATCTTTGTAAGTCCTGGCCTGATCTTCTGGAGATCGCTCTTTATCAAAAATAATTGACTACAGGCAGGCCAAGTCAGGATTCTCCAGGGGATCAATTTCTGATGGCGAGTTCTTTATAAAGAGAGGAATCTTTTCAAATTCCTCCTCCCACTGGCTCTCGTGGAAGCCGCCATGGTAAGGCTGACTCTGGAACTTTTCCAAGAATGAGTCCATGCCATCGTCAAAAGTGGGGCCCAGCTCCTGCTGCTCCATGTCTGCTCCCTGGCGATCCAGCCACCCCCAAAATCTTGAAAACAAAATGGAGTTACAGATAAATAGCCTGGAGACAAAGATGGAGAAGATGCAAGAAATGTTTAACAAGGACCTAGAAGAAATAAAAAAGAGTCAATTAAAAATGAATAATGCAATAAATGAGATCAAAAACACTGTGGAGGGAACCAAGAGTAGAATAACGGAGACAGAAGATAGGATAAGTGAGGTAGAAGATAAAATGGTGGAAATAAATGAAGCAGAGAGAAAAAAAGAAAAAGAATCAAAAGAAATGAGGACAACCTCGGGGACCTCTGGGACAATGTGAAATGCCCCAACATTTGAATCGTAGGAGTCCCAGAAGAAGAAGACAAAAAGAAAGGCCATGAGAAGCTACTCGAGGAGATAATAGCTGAAAACTTCCCCAAAATGGGGAAGGAAAGAGTTACACAGGTCCAAGAAACCCAGAGAGTCCCAAACAGGATAAACCCAAGGCAAAACACCCCAAGACACATATTAATCAAATTTAAAAAGATCAAACACAAAGAATAAACATTAAAAGCAGCAAGGGAGAAACAACAAATAACACACAAAGGGATTCCCATAAGGGTAACAGCTGATCAATTAATAAAAACCCTTCAGGCCAGAAGGGAATGGCAGGACATACTTAAAGTAATGAAAGAGAATAACCTACAACTCAGATTACTGTACCCAGCAAGGATCTCATTCAGATATGAAGGAGAATTTAAAAGCTTTACAGACAAGCAAAAGCTGAGAGAATTCAGCACCACCAAACCAGCTCTTCAACAAATGCTAAAGGATCTTCTCTAGACAGGAAACAGAGAAAGGTTGTATAAACGTGAACCCAAAACAACAAACTAAATGGCAACGGGACCATTCTTATCAATAATTACCTTCAATGAAAATGGGTTGAATGCCCCAACCAAAAGACAAAGGCTGGCTGAATGGATACAAAAACAAGAACCCTATATATGCGGTCTACATGAGACCCACCTCAAAACAAGGGACACATACAGACTAAAAGTGAAGGGCTGGAAAAAAATATTTCATGCAAATGGAGACCAAAAGAAAGCAGGAGTCACAATACTCATATCAGATAAAATAGACTTCAAAATAAAGGCTGTGAAAAGAGACAAAGAAGGACACTACATAATGATCAAAGGATCAATCCAAGAAGAAGATATAACAATTATAAATATATATGCACCCAACATAGGAGCACCGCAATATGTAAGGCAAAAGCCAACGAGTATGAAAGAGGAAATTAACAGTAACACAATAATAGTGGGAGACTTTAATACACCACTTACACCTATGGAAAGATCAACTAAACAGAAAATTAACAAGGAAACGCAAACTTTAAATGACACAATGGACCAGCTAGACCTAATTGATATCTATAGGACATTTCACCCTCAAACAATCAATTTCACCTTTTTCTCAAGTGCACACGGAACATTCTCCAGAATAGATCACATCCTGGGCCATAAATATAGCCGTGGGAAATTAAAAAAAATTGAAATCATTCCAGTCATCTTTTCTGACCACAATGCAGTAAGACTAGGTCTCAATTACAGGGAAAAAATATTAAAAATTCAAACATATGGAGGCTAAATCACACACTTCTGAATAACCAAAAAATCAGAAGAAATCAAAAAAGAAATCAATATATGCATAGAAATGAATGAAAATGAAAACACAACAACCCAAAACCTATGGGACACTGTAAAAGAAATGCTAAGAGGAAGGTTCATAGCATTACAGGCTTACCTCAAGAAACAAGAAAAAAGTCAAATAAATAACCTAACTCTACACCTAAAGCAACTAGAGAAGGAAGAAATGAGGAACCCCAGGGTTAGTAGAAGGAAAGAAATCTTAAAAATTGGGGCAGAAATAAATGCAAAAGAAACAAATGAGACCATAGCAAAAATCAACAAAGCTAAAAGCTGGTTTTTTGAAAAGATAGACAAAATTGACACACCGTTAGCCAGACTCATTAAGAAACAAAGGAAGAAAAACCAAATCAACAAAATTAGAAATGAAAATGGAGAGATCACAACAGACAACACCAAAATACAAAGGATCATGAGAGACTACTACCAGCAGCTCTATGCCAATAAAATGGACAACTTGGAAGAAATGGACAAATTCTTAGAAAAATATAACTTTCCAAAACTGAACCAGGAAGAAATATAAGATCTTAACAGACCCATCACAAGCACGGAAATCAAAACTCTAATCAGAAATCTTCCAGCAAACAAAAGCCCAGGACCAGATGGCTTCACAGCTGAATTCTACCAAAAATTTAGAGAAGAGCTAACACCTATCTTACTCAAACTCTTCCAGAAAATTGCAGAAGGAGGTAAACTTCCAAACTCATTCTATGAGGCCACCATCACCCTAATTCCAAAACCAGACATGGATGCCACAAAAAAAGGAAACTACAGGCCAACATCACTGATGAACATAGATGCAAAAATCCTTAACAAAATTCTAGCAAATAGAATCCAACAACATATTAAAAAGACCATACATCATGACCAAGTGGGCTTTATCCCAGGAATGCAAGGATTCTTTAATATCCACAAATCAACCAATATAATACACCACATTAACAAATTGAAAGATAAAAACCATATGATTATCTCAATAGATGCAGAAAAAGCATTTGACAAAATTCAGCATACTTTTATGATTAAAACTCTCCAGAAAACAGGCATAGAAGGAACATACCTCAACATAATAAAAGCTATATATGACAAGCCCACAGCAAGCATTATCCTCAATGGTGAAAAACTGAAAGCATTTCCCCTAAAATCAGGAACAAGACAAGGGTGCCCACTCTCACCACTACTATTCATCATAGTTTTGAAAGTTTTGGCCACAGCAATCAGAGCAGAAAAAGAAGTAAAAGGAATCCAGATAGGAAAAGAAGAAGCGAAACTCTCACTGTTTGCAGACGACATGATCCTCTACATAGAAAACCCTAAAGATTCTACCAGAAAATTACTACAGCTAATCAGTGAATACAGTAATGTTTCAGGATGTAAAATTAACACAGAGAAATCCCTTGCATTCTCATACACTAACAACGAGAAAATAGAAAGAGAAATTAAGGAAATAATACCATTCACCATTGCAACAAAAAGAATAAAATACTTAGAAGTATATCTACCTAAAGAAATGAAAGACCTATACATAGAAATCTATAAAACACTGATGAAAGAAATCAAAGAGGACACAAATAGATGGAGAAATATACCGTGTTCATGGATTGGAAGAATCAATATTGTCAAAATGGCTATACTACTCAAAGCAATCTATAGATTCAATGCAACCCCTATCAAGCTCCCAACCATATTTTTCATAGAACTAGAACAAATAATTTCACAATTTGTGTGGAAATACAAAAGACCTCGAATAGACAAAGTAATCTTGAGAAAGAAGAATGGAATTGGAGCAATCAACTTGCCTGTCTTCAGGCTCTACTACAAAGCCACAGTCATCAAGACAGTATGGTACTGGCACAAAGACAGAAATATAGATCAATGGAACAGAAAAGAAAGCCCAGAGATAAATCCACGAACCTATGGTCACCTTATCTTCGACAAGGGAGGCAAGGATATACAATGGAAAAAAGACAACCTCTTTAACAAGTGGTGCTGGGAAAACTGGTCAACCACTTGTAAAAGAATGAAACTAGAACACTTTCTAACACCATACACAAAAATAAACTCAAAATGGATTAAAGATCTAAATGTAAGACCAGAAACTATAAAACTCCTAGAGGAGAACATAGGCAAAACACTCTCTGACGTAAATCACAGCAGGATCCTCTATGACCCACATCCCAGAATATTGGAAATAAAAGCAAAAATAAACAAATGGACCTCATTAAACTTAAAAGCTTTTGCACAACAAATGAAACTATAAGCAAGGTGAAAAGACAGCCTTCAGAATGGGAGAAAATAATAGCAAATGAAGCAACAGACAAAGGATTAATCTCAAAAATATACAAGCAGCTCCTGCAGCTCAATTCCAGAAAAATAAATGACCCAATCAAAAAATGGGCCAAGGAACAAATGTCTGTTTAGAGACATTTCTCCAAAGAAGACATACAGATGCCTAACAAACACATGAAAAGATGCTCAACATCACTCATCAGAGAAATGCAAATCAAAACCACAACGAGGTACCATTACATGCCAGTCAGGATGGCTGCTATCCAAAAGTCTACAAGCAATAAATGCTGGAGACGGTGTGGAGAAAACGGAACCCTCTTACACTGTTTGGTGGGAATGCAAACTAGTATAGTCACTATGGAGAACAGTGTGGAGATTTCTTAAAAAACTGGAAATAGAACTGCCATATGACCCAGCAATCCCACTCCTGGGCATACACACCAAGGAAACTAGATCTGAAAGAGACACGTGCACCCAAATGTTAATCGAAGCACTGTTTATAATATCCAGGACATGGAAGCAACCTAGATGCCCATCAGCAGACGAATGGATAAGGAAGGTATGGTACATATACACCATGGAATATTATTCAGCCATTAA